TTTACCAAGTACCCAGAAAAATAAACGGTAGAACAACTCTCCAAAGACAGTGAATTGTCGGAAAGAGAGGAAACTAATTTAGATTTTAAAGAAGTTCCCACGTCTGTTTCCTCTTCATCATCATAGTTCTCTTTATATTCTTCTTCTTCTTCCTCTTCTTCATCCTCTTCTACATTCATATTTTGCAAAATATCGTTTGACGTAGAACAACTTTCCAAAATATTTTCATCATTGTCTGGTTTTGGACCAGTATTTGCGGAAACTGGGGTCTGCATAAAATTATTAACAATATTTAGTTTAAAAGATGATTTGAAGCTCTGCGCTGTTGGATTTCTATCGTAACCGCCTTTTTGTCTGTGTACCTAAAACTGATTTTCTAGTGGGTCTTGAATAAGGCGACCAGTAAAAATATACCTGTATCTAGCTTGTTTTACTTCTGTCTAAAATTGCTTAACTGCATTTATTGTTATTAAAAATCCATCAAAACTGTTAGGTCGGGTTAATTTTCCCTTGGAATTTTGTTTGTACAGATTTGATATTAAATTATAACCTGAATTTAGAGCTGTGACAACCTCTTGATTCTTATCACAATATACTCTCTTGTAGGGATTTGATGCTCGGACACGTGTACTATTTAAGGCATCGAAAAGATTATTCATAGTCTCTACAAAGAACGCACAGTATTTTCGACAGTGCTAGAATTTAACTGCCCTGTTCTCGTAGATGTTTTAATAGCAGCTGCAACGCTGTGACTTAATAATTGTGTGGCTAATTTAACACTCATTTTTTGAAAGGCATTTGGGTGTGTCTTTCTGTAACTTTTAAAAGAGCTTTTCCAGTTTTACTGCGGTTATCAATTTCATACACCTTTTTCAATTCTGAAAAACTAATAAATTTTCCATTATATAAGAAATTATTATCAATAAAATTATTTCTGATACATTTAAAAAGATGAGGAACATCGTAAAAAGTAAATATTTTTTTCTCGTTAATAAAAAAATATGGACGATTTTTGTTTGCCCCGTGCAATTTAATTACTTTTTGATTGGTCGTTGAGAGATCACAGACAATACCAACTGGTTCTAAATTAATATTAATTAACATTGTTACAGCCTTAATAACAATAGATTTTAGAGAAATATAATTTGCTCCATTTTCAGACAAGAAATATCCAATAGGTATTTTCCATTTGGAGAATACTCCTCTGGTCATTAATACTTTGAGTTGCAGCTACTGCTTTTCTTTGATTTCGTCCCAGATCTTTAAATCCTTCAATGATATCTAATTTAGAATTATATTCAATATTTTTATTATGGGCATCTCATCAAACATGAGTACGCATTTTTTCTGTGATGAAGACATAGATTCTGTGTTTAGTTGAAGATTTTTAAAAGTTTTATTGTTAAATCCTGGATTATAAATAAAGTTGCTAATCCAGCTTTTAATGGTCGATACACCAGGGAGAATTATGCCTTTTCTGCGAAGAAATTTATAGGTACTAGGTTCTTTATAAAATAAGGACAATGCAGTTTTTTCTCTGAAGGTAACCAAACGCTTGTCTTATTGTGGCGTATTTGTATATTACCGAAAGATCTTGAGAACTGTGACATGGGATATTAAAATGTTTGTAATCTTGCTGCCAAATTAGCTTTCATTAAATTTTTCTTCATGCCTCTAAGTTGAGTTTTCAGGCTATTAATTTTCTTTTGTCCTAACCTGACTTTATATTTTAATTTTTCGTTTTCATGGATAGAACGATTTCTTTTACCTTTTAATTTAGGAGAATCAGGCAAACATGTCTAGTGTTTATAACTATAACACAAAAATGCACAATTTTTAACCAAAAACTATTGTTTAATGCAAAAAACTCAATTATACCACCGTGAGATTGATTTTCAGTCGGCGGGATGTTCGTTTTACAAATACCTACTTTAGGTAAATAGGAATAGGTATTCATGTTTCTGAAACTATACTTATATTTGAATTAGTAGGTACTGGGTACTGTAGTTATAAACATAAAATTTATAATTCCTTTAATCATACCTACGTAGGTATATAGAGGATAAGGGTAGATAGGTATCCTACCTATATCCCTCTATCTACCTAAAAATTTAATTAATTTTTTTTTTCATAGATTAAATTTCTTATTTTGAAAAAGTACCTATTCCTACCAAAATTGTAGGTAGGTAGAATGTTATGATAATTAACGCACGAAGTTTAATTTATAAACTCGTAAAACTACCCTGCTCATATTACCTATATAATAAAATATTATATTTATATTCAATTTAGGTAATAATAAATCTAATCTTAATTAGGTACATAGAAATATGTAAGTCCTACATAGAGGTTTTAGGTAATTATTCAACGGCTAATTATATCAGCTGATAGACAATAATAAAAACAACCAGCCAAGCGCCTGATTCAAATTTACCTAATCTAATAACAAAGAGAAAAAGATTTGTTATTTCATGCATTCTCAAAAATAATTTCAGGTAAAATTTCCTTCCCTACATATTTCTTCGCTTCGATGCAATGTTGCCATTTAAATAATTTAAGGTTTGTTTTAATTGATTTTTATTTAAAAAGACAATCTGATTTTTTATTAAACTCTGTAGTCTCGGCTGTAATATAATAATACAATAATCAGTAATTTCGGTAATTAATTTAGATATAAAATTTCTCCGATAATTTTTACTCTGGCAACAATGATTTTCCTAGGTTAATCATTTAGGTGGACTAAAAATGGTAACTCATCCATTCTCTTTTGGAATTTAATTTTAAATGAAATGACACATGGATAGAAAATGGCGTTCATTATATACTCCTGGGAACTCAAAAAGAGTCGCCATCTATTTGCTGTCTCCAAAATTTTCAAACCTTTCGGTCTATGTCTCTGACCAACTATCTCTACTCTTTATGGCCGAACCAAAGTTTATAGCTAAAGAATCACTTAGCTCACTTGGACAAGTTGGATGTTCCAAAATAAAATTCCATTCCAAGGATACGAATTCTGGATTCGCAGAAGAATGCTGTTTGAATATAGGCGGTTGTCATATATTGTATTGGTTGTGATTTGATTCTGTATGCGCCAGGGATACAAATCCGAGTTGCGCAGTGTATAAACTGGAACACTGAGATCAAAAGTGCCGACGCAGAGTGAGCGAACTGATTCTTTAGCAATAAACTGTGGCCGAACTATCCATCAGAAATGTTATTGACTTAAGATGGATCAAAGGTCACGCCACATCGAAAGGTAACCTTCTGGGTGATTCACTAGCCAAGAAGGCAGCCAACCAAATACTTTTTGGACCTGGCCCTTCTATTGGCCTGACAAAATCGGTAGTGACAGACCTTATTAAAAAACATTCCCTTGTGAAATTCAAGGAAAGATAGGATGAAACAAGAAGTTACAGATTTACCAGGGAGCTTTTAAGTGATCCTAACATCACTGCAGCAAACAAATACTTGTCTGTGGTCTAGACAGATTCTACATTTCATGGGGCTGTCAGAGTCCGCACTCTGCAGGGGATGCGAACAAGAAGATGAGACCTTCAAGCAGATCCTCTACGATTGTAAGACGCTCTCATTTATTAGAAGTACCTCTTCGCGACGTTGTCAACTACATTAAATCTGTAAGTAAGCTCACGAGCTAGGAGACGTCTATCTACTTAAGAAGATTTACAATGGGCCTAGTGATGCCTAAGTGCCGTGGGTTAATCCACCCTTCACACATTACGGATACAGATATATTTTTTTATGTACTCAAACAAGATTTTACTATTTTAACATAAATTGGTGGTCCCCACTTTATGGTGACTGAATTCCCCACGGACAAACTTGGAACATAAATGAAACGATTTGATTTCGAACTATAGACCGAAAACGGTGAACAATTTTAAGACGTTTAATTTTCAGGTTTGTAAAGCTTAGTTTTTATCGTCAGGAATTTACCAGCCGATAGTTTATCGAAAAATAAAGGTAGTGTGATCCATGGTGTGTGATCGATAAAATATTGCCCAGTTTTGGTTCCTTTTTTAACCGACTTCAATAAAGGAGGAGGTTCTCAATTCGTCGCGATATTTTTTTTTTATGTATGTCCAGCGATAATTCTTTAACACAGTTTGCGATTTCAATGATTCTTTTTTGTTAGGAACTTCAGGGGTGGTCTCATATAAATTTGGTCAAAATCTAATAATTGGGTCCATGAAAAAATCCTCAAACTCTTCATTTTTTATGTATGTTCAGCGATAATTCTTTAACACGGTGTCCGATTTCAATAATTCTTTTTTTGTTAGAAAGGGGGTACCTCAGGGGTGGTTTCATATAAATTTGGTCAAAATCTAATAATTGGGTCCATGAAAAAATCCTCAAACTCTTCATTTTTTATGTATGTTTAGCGATAATGCTTTACCACCTTGTCCGATTTATATGATTCTTTTTTTGTTAGTAAGGGGGTACCTCAGGGGTGGTCCCATATAAATTTGATTAAGATGTGGTGATGGCATCTGCACGTTTTTGAAGTCGGTTTTCTTAAATTTTTAATTTCTAATACTTGTTAATGTTAGTTTTTTAAATAGTTTTTGATCAATATCTAAAAGACTTTGTCCGATCAGTTGGTTGACAACTTTATATTCAGTTGATCCATTAATTCCAGGGCACACTAGATTTTTTGTTTCTTAAATTTTTTTCATATCTTTGTTTTCGAGGAATAAATAAAACTCTAGCACGTCTTTGAGACAAAAGAAAAAAAGTCAAAATGGGATCGACTATGACGATATTAAATTGACCACCCTGTATTGGCATTATTTCATGTTTATGATAACGTTCTTTTGAGATTTCAATAGAAATTACATTTTGTAGAAATTGTAATCATTTTGGGTCTGAAGAAGAAACAATTAAAGTAATATTTTTTTTATTAAAAAAATACAGTACATATTATGTATAACATTTATCAATCATTCATTTAAAAGTCGTGTATTTAATAGGATTGTTTTCAAAATTAAGTAATGTCGAACATAGATGGTGTTAAATATATAATAAAAAAAAAGAACAAAATGAGATCAATGGTATAAAAAAATTTTTAGTATTTTAAAAACACAACCATTAAAGAATGATTTTTACAAGCACCATTTCATAAAAGCTACTAACAAACCGGGTAAATTTAATATATATTTGGCACAATAGCTAAAAAATATGGAAATATTTAAAACTGCTGAGTATAAATCAAAGCCCACTTCACGTCACAGATTTTTTAATCGTTTTTCGTTTTTGCATTTTTGCAGTATCGTGTATTTTTATGTTTTCACTTGACTTTGACGTTTTAACAAGAATTCTACAATTTTTATCCTAATATTGACGATTATTGTGTCAGTATTGACAACAATTTTTTGTATTATTAATGACATGTTTGCTATAATTTTATGTCATTTTTTCATTAATATTAGGCATTCCAAACTGAATGCCTACCAGTGGGCTTTGACGGGTTATGATATTGCAAAATTATGGCAACCCTGTAGACCTGGTGATTTGACAAAGTCAATGAAATAGATAGTTACATAGATTGATTATCCATATTTTTCAAAATAAACATAAGCGTATGTCTTGAAGTAAAAATGTAAGCAATTATTTTTTTTTAAATATCTAAAGGCTAAAAATTGGTTTTAAAACACATTTTTGCTAAACCGATTCAAATTAATAAATATTTGCCAGGCAATATGGCCGCTCGTAAACGACCAGCTTTGAGCAATCTATATAACTATATATGTATCATTGACCCTGTTAATGACAACATGACAACAGGGTTGCCATATCTAAACTGTCATTACCCACTGGTAGCCATTTGGACAGGTCGTTGGAATGCCTAATTGTCAGTTTTGAAATTTTTTGTGACTATGACGTTTGGAAAATTAATTAGAATCTATCAAACATTGACGTGAAATTGCCTTTATCTAAATGCATATCGGGAATGTAAAAATAATTACGTATTTTTTTTAATAAAACGTTTTTTGTGCAAATATTTCAATAATGAGCATTCTAAGATTTGGCATGTAGCTTATTTATAGCTTATAAATACCTAAAAAGCCTAGCATCTTTAATACTTAAATATTTACTAAAAAAATATCAATGTATAAATAAATATTTAAATGGTAAGTACAAAAAATAACATAAATATATAAAACTAACAATCGCTTTATACAAATCATCTAAATTTTGACTAAAAAACTGTTAAATACAAGTTTGTTCGATTTATATAGTAATTAGTCAATTAGAAATTATCGATTAAAATGCAAAGGATTCTTTGAGAAATTTTGTTAATTACGAGGGTCATTCAATAAGTAAAGAGACAAATTCTACAATTTTAAAACTGTTCAATGAATGTGTACAATCTTTTCAGGGGTGTTAGTTGGCAACCTTGGGATATGCTCTGATCAGCTGTTTCATCATTTTATGTCAACATAACCTCAAAATTTTCAATTTACCATGGCAGGTCCACTAGAAGATTGCACCTTAGAAGAGCAGCGCTCAGTCATTAGATTTTTAGTCGCAGAAGGTGTAAAACCAAGTGAAATTTTTTCTAGAATGTTGATACAGTACAGTAAAAGTTGTGTGAACCGTGCGAATTTTTACAAGTGGGTTGATCGGTTTAAAAGTGGCCGAACAAGTGTAGGTGATGAACCCCGAGGTGGACGTCCAGTGGAAGTTTTTGGTCCCTCGTTGGAATCGAGGATTGACGGACTTATTCGTGATAACAGAAGAATTACTGTTGAAATGATAGCTGAGGAAGCTCAAGTAAGTGTTGGAACTGTTCACAATGTCATTCAGAACAATTTAAAGTACAGAAAAACGTGTTCCAGATGTGTTCCCAGACAGCTTACTGACGCTCATAAAGAATCAAGGCTTTCCATTAGTCAAGACTTAAAGCAACGAAGTTTGATTGAAGGAGACGCTTTTTTGAAAGAATAGTGACCAGCGACGAGGTCTGGATCCATCACTATGACCCTGAGACCAAAAGATAAAGAATGGAGTGGAAACACTAGCTCTCCAGTTCGCAAAAAATTAAAGGTTCAACCTTCCGCCGGTAAAGTGATGTTGACCATCTTTTGGGACTCACAGGGTCCAGTCTATTGCGATTTCCTTGAAGATCAGCGAACTATCAATAGCCAATACTACTCTGAGATGCTAGAACACAAAGTTAGACTAGCTATGAGAAGCAAAAGCCGTGGACTCTTGTCAAAAGGAGTCATTCTTCAGCACAATAACGCCTGCCCTCATAAAGCCCAGCTGAATTGAATTGGGAGGTCTTACCTCATTCTGCCTACAGTCCCGACCTCGCCCCATCTGATTTTTAAATCGAAAGAATTTTCGCCAAGAGAATTAGGAAGCTGCAAGAAAGATGGAACTAATACATAACTGTGGGGGTGATTATGTTGAAAAATAGCCTTAATTTTGAAAGATTGAAATAAACCGGTTTTGAGCTATAGCCATTTGTCTCTTTACTTATTGAATGACCCTCGTAAATTAATATATTACTAGTTTTTTTTTAAATATATCCATAATGACATTTTTATCATAAAAAAATATAAAACAAATTTTTTTCAATATTAAAATTTCCCGCTAATCTTCAAAAAAAAATGTTCCTGTTACATCAATTTCAATACTTTTGTTATTTTATAACTTTCTGACTCGTAATAATTGTTCCCATCTCTAGTCAAAATAAAATACCTAAAATTATCTATTTTTAATATTTTTTTAACGTGCAGTATTTTTTGAAGGAGACAAAACTTGAATTGGTATAGGTTTCCTCCTTATATTCAAAAGAAATACAAAATATTTTCAAGGATATTCATGTTTTTTTTATTATTTTTTATCTTATTTTTTCTCAGATATTTTTGCCGTCGTCGAATGTTGAGTTCTTGCTGATTGAATTCGAAAATAAAGGTCAAATTTACAGATATTAATTTCATTTGGTATGATTTTTCTTTTACAATAATATTTATTGACTTATTACAAGTATTAATTGCGTTATAAAACGTTCGGGAGTATCAAAATTATGTTTGTATATCGTACAAAAATCTACTTAAAAATATGGTTAATTACCAATGAGTTTTTTGTACTTTGTGTATTTAGGATTGAGTGCAAATTCAAAAAAAACATTTTTAGGTCCACAATGAGGTAGGCATCATTCCTTCAACAGAACCAGCAGCAGGCATTAGATATTCCTTGCTCAAAAAGTTCAAAGGAAGCAGCACGATGTGGCCCTAAAAAAAACGTTTCTGTTAATTACAATAATATTTTTTTTATTAACAATTGAATTCAGAAGACCTCCACGGTGGTATTGTTAGTAATGAGATTCTTACTACAGAATCCAATAACTTTGAAATTAAATACAGGGTGACCCACTATAAAGAAACACAGTTTAACAGCTTATAGTTCAAGAATGGAAAAATACATTATTGGAAAAAAAAGCAATTTGTAGCTTGAAGTGTCTAGTTTATGGACCTTGCAATAAAAAAAATTTCCAACCGACAATTAACACAAAATCCTGATGAATATCATGAATAGAAAATTTTTTTTATTTTTTTTTTTTATTTTTAGTGTACGCATTTGAAAAAAAATTTCTCGTCATAACCACTATATGCATTGGATATGTGGTTCAGTTAGCTTCAATTCCTTTTTTTGATGGCCTTGAGATGACCCTTCCTTGCTGAGTTATCAAAAAATGAACGAAAATGCGTCATTTCCTCTTTTCTCGTCAATATCTCAGGAACCAATGGCCGCTCAAAAAATAGAAGGGGGTTTCGAAAACTTCGATTCATTCTCTACAAGGTTCTGGTATGTTCTTTTACGAGAAAAATGTTTTTCATCCCTAGTAAGACTTTGAAGAATTTCGGAAAACAGGCCTTTTTGAGGTTTTTTAGAAAATCACGTGCCACATTGAGAATATTGGGAAAATAAATAATGTTGAGTGTGCATCTTACAGGCCATTGTTCTCCCGAAAGCCCTACAAAATTTTAACCTAATCCATCAAGCCGTGTCATTGTTTCATGCGAGTAAATTTTTGAAGAAATTAAAGGATCGTGTTTTTCTATTCATGATTTTGTGTTAATTGTTGATTGGAAATTTTTTTTATCACAAGATCCATAAACTAGACACTTCAAACTTCAAATTGCTTTTTTTATCATTCGCGAACGATCATTTTTACCAAAGATACAACCACTCGAAAAATCGCAAAAAATCGAGGTGTTATTTTGATCCCTTAATTTTTTCCGCTTAACTTCTTAAATTTGCTTCTACTTTTTGTTGACCAAATGTATATTTTTTCCCGAAATTGCCAAAGAAATGGCCTTGTTTACTATGTCGATTAATAAATTTGAGTGTGTTGGTCCTTGATCTACTTCATATAAATTATTTAACATCAGTTATATTTTTCAAAGACACCTTGATAAAACGGTGTCTACTATGTCATGCGACTTTGGAAATAGGATACAGTTGATTATAAGAGTATCAGATCATTTTTATTTGAAGTAAACCAGAAAATACACCCATTAAAATTAATAAAAAATAAATAAACTTCGAAAGAAAATTCCAACAATCTTACAACATATTTCTGATATATAAATATCTCTCCCAAACCTTTAATAAATAATCACAATGTATACATTTTTGAAAAGAGAAAGAAAGGGACTTTTAGATGGTATGAAATATGAAATATAGGGTGTTCTATTTAAAGTAAACCGATAATTTTGCTTTAAAAAATTATTTTTCCGGCAATTTCGGGAAAAAATATACATTTGGCAACTATGTCAACAAAATATAAGAACTAAGCTGTTAAAATGTGCTACTTTATAGTATTTAGGCAACCGTTTGAGTCATGAATATGCCTTTTATCTCATTGAATTCTTATCGTTTAACTCAACAAATTGGTATTTATTGCGATAGCTCAAAATTTCGTTTTTCGTTGTAAGATGGAAATTTAATATCAATAAAAAAATAAATAATGAAGCCTTACCTGTATGGTTTCCAACATTTTTTCTGCCTTAGACAACTCCTCGATCCACAGAGGCTTTTCCTCGTGATTCTTCCTTAAATCCGCGAACGTTTGAACGTTATCCGAAGGCAAGCAATGGAAGACTTTTTCGTAAAATTCCGTATTCAAACTAGCTGTCTGGTACCATACGTCTTTATAGAAACGTTTAGCTATAGGATCCGAAACGTCGATATCGAAAACTTCGTCGGTTTTATTTAAAAGGCCGAGGTGTTCCTTGAAGAGGTGCTTTCGTAGGCTACCGGCAAATTTTCCGCACGGAAAAGCATTGCCGTTCATTACGCCATCCAAGAAGGTTTCATCCTAAAAAATGTTTGATGGGAATTAAAGGAAAACAACGCAAATCTTGCCCATCGCAAAATATTCCTCACTCACGATCCAATTATTATTACAACCATCATAACTAACAAAACCTCAATTAATAAAAGATTAAAATGCTCTCAATACAACAAGGATGATATGTCTCACACTCAACACAAATTCCAAACAAAATACCTTCAATGCCAATACCACGAAATAAGTAATTAGTAAAATACTCATCGCAAAGGGTATTTTATTTATAAAAATTAATAAAAATATATTTTTTCTACACCCACATATTTTGTGTTCTTGAAAGTGAAATTTTTATTTGACCTTTTCTATTTAAGATGCAGTTATAGACCGTCAGATTTTCGCATACAAGTCTCGAAGAGGGTTGAAAAGTACATCGATGTTGAGTAAAATAAAAGAAAATTTACGAGTGGCTCTTGGGGATAACACATGGAAAATTCGATTTTCCTTATCAGAAAAATTTTCCGACCTCAAAATGTATTTATACATTCGGGTCATTCAAGAAAATATGTTTTTCGGACTAGTGACGACGTTCGTTTTCATACATTCGATGGGCTTGTGTGAAAAAATCGGGCAAAATCTCGATTTTTCCTTAGAAGATTACGCCCTTATTTCAACCCTTTAGCCACTTGCAACATTAAAGCCATTGGTTTTCTGAAGCCTAGTTCTATTAATTAATCATGTAGTGAAAACGGTTTGAGTGGAAAAATGGGCAACAAATAACCTTTCATTTTTGTTAAGGAAAATCGATTCCATGTGTTATCCCCAGCAGCCACTCGTAAATTTCCTTTTATTCTACTTAAAATCGAAGTACTTTTCAACCCCCTTCGAGGCTTGTATGTGAAAATGGGGCACCTAAACATGTCACTATCTGACGGACTATTATTAAACCGTGCAGTTATTAACTATTTGTTCAGCCTCTGGAAAATTTTGTCTCTTGCACAAATAACGATTCAGGATCGTTGTGTATACTCCAAAATCAAAGTTACTTCTGGCATTTTTTATCTGCATCTGAAGCTGCCCGAGTACTTTTGACGTAATATCAACCACCAAATGATATGGCACGCGAGTAACCGGCCGTATGGACGCAGCTCGTAAGCTTATTTTCCCAAGGGGTAGAGAAAAACCTTTACAGATGTAACCACAAACAAATTAAAAAAAAATGATTATAGTTTACATTATAAATGCGTTAAAAAAATAATAAAGAAGGGAAAACCAAAATAAAAACGGATATAATTTCATATTCTATATTCTAGTACGGATTTAAAATCCCACCAATTTCAATTTATATTCTTTTTTAAATAAATGACAGTTCTGTCAACTGAATTCTTCAATAATTCAATTATAAAGTTTTAACAATAAAAATTAAAAAAGTTGTTAGAACAACAGTTTGAGTGAAGGGTTTACTCTCCAAAGTACGGGATTCAAATTACGACTGAAACCATTTTTTTTAATTCATTAGTAAAATTTATATTTTAAAATTTTTGTTTTATTTATCTTTAAAATAATTTTATTTTAATAACTTGTAATTGAGTCAGTCTCTAGTTCTTAAAGTTATCTGTATGAGTTCTGGCAAATAAAAGAAAGTGAGAAAATTTAATACATTTAATAAAAAAAGTAAAAGAGTGAAATTTTACATATAATAAATTGATAGTTAGTGATTAAATATGAATATAAAATTTAAAACACATAAAAGACAGATAATTACTAGCAACTAATTTTAATACATTTATCGGCACAGCTAGCACTTTTGATTCGAACACCAAAAAGACCGGTTAAATCCAAACGAATCGGTTTTATGAGGACTGGTTGCCCAAAAAAACTCTATGGACTGTGCGCAGACCATGCGCAAACGATGCTTTGTAAAAATCGATAAGGGAAGCGAGCAGTGGTCGTTTTAAGTTGTGTTACGAGGGGTTATGGAGAAGTTGTGTCAAAAATTAATTTCACATAACAAACTTCTAAATTAATTTTTAAAATTTGGTTAGTGGGTCGTAGAAAAAATATACTGTATTACCCAGAGATAACGAGGAAATGTAACTATTAATAAATATCGTGCGGTCCTGAACAAGACATATTCTAAAGGACCCAGACAGGTATAATATCCGCTGTTGTCATATGCCTATTTCATTATTCTCGTTTTTTTACAAAATTATTTACATATATTAAAAAAGCTAAAATAATTCAACCTATTTTATTGCAACTGAATCCAAAAAATTTTGAAGCATTAGTTATATTAAATTTAACTAAATTAGATGTAATTGCACTAAATTTTATTTAATAATTTTCAATAAATTCCAAAACCTAGTGATGTTAGGTTGAAAGTGGCAACAGGGCTTACACCGGCATGGATCTTTACGTTGTTCATTATAAGCGTACAGCGGCTTACACATTTATTCATCGATAAAAATAAGATGTATCTGCGTAAAATTCTTCTTTTTATTCCTTCTCTTACTTCTTACCTTTCTTCGCCTTGCCCCGCATCTACAAATAGAGTGTATCGACTGTCGAATTAATGTTGGCATCGTGAATATTATATTTTATGAATGACTGCTTATATTCTGTTATCTCTACTATTACCATAGTAGATTGTCCGTAAATATTAAATAAAAAGTTAATGAAAAAAATTGATTCAACAAAAAACAATTTACCTCAATAATGACAGCAACTTCCGAGTCCCTTTTGCCGATCAAAGATCTATCGTTGATATTCGCAGATCCACAGATGACGGTCTTGTCGTCGACTATCATCAATTTCGAATGGACGTAAATCAATTCGGTCAAAGGTTCGGAATTGAGACAAGCGTGATTTCTGAGACCGTAAAACGTGATGTACTCAGACGGATCGTGAATTCCGGCGGCTTTGAGTCTGTTCAAAAGTGCGTCCTTTCCTCTAAAAAAAAAAACCGCTGAATTAAATTTATTTGTCTGGACAACGACCCATGTCATCTAAAAAATCTTTTAACCATAAATGTTTGCTACGAACTTCTATATATATATATTTTTTATTAACCCTACTATTAAGCCAGTAGTTAATATTATTAGACTACTCACAAAATTAAGTTATGTAAATTGATTAATAAAATCCTAAAATTGTTCAGATTTTATTCCACTACATGCTAAACGTAGAATCTTTCATACCGATGCTGCATTGATGGCTACAAAGAGAATTGAGAGAGCTGAGATAGGTATCGACTAGAGTAAGATCTAAAAATATAAAAACAGTTTGTACTTACTGTGAAATCGAAACGTAATTCCAATGAGTAATAGCGTGCAACGATGTCCCAGTAGGGCCACCAACTTCTCCTTCAAATCCTGGTAAAAGGGGCATCACCACGTACACGCGAAAAACTTCTTTTGCCCTAAAAGAACACGAATTAACTTTTTAGCAAATTTCGATACATTGAAACGTTTTTTTATTTTCAGCTATTTGCAGGGTCATACAAAACTTGTACAAGTTTGTAGAGACTCGCACTAGCTTGTATAGGTTCGTATGAGTTCGAATAAGTTTGTGGAGGTCATCTAAATTATTGAACAAGTACGTGGAGACTCGCAAACACTTGTGGAGGTTCGTATAAGTTTGAATAAGCTTGGGAGGTTTGTACATACTGTTGAAAGTTACTAAGAACTTCTGAAGATTTTTACAGTTTCATGAGAAGGCTCGTACAGGCCTGTAAAACTTGTCCAAGTATATGAAGGTTTTTACAGGTTCTCAACAATTATCCTATGAATGTGTAATATCAACTAAAGCTATGTAAAAACTTGAGAAAGTTCGTACATGCTCTTGTGAGTCAGTACGAGTTTGTACAATGTATACAGATTCTCACAGACTTGTACAAACTCGTGGAATTTCATACAGGCTTGTTAAAGAGAATAGGAGACAATGTCATACTATTGTTTAGAATTTTTATTATATTTTACATTCATGTAGTGATACTTACTTGTGAGCACGAATTATTCTCTTATAGAGGGCTTCGCCGATTTGATTTTTAGTATGGGGATTATCGCAAGGTAGAGTTATAAAGAATTGGTTTTCGATATATATGTAGTGTTGAGATTTGGTGATGGTATCGATGTAAGCCTCGTGGATGCTTTGTTCGACAGTATCGGCTTCGAAAAATCCTATTGACCAGCAACTACCACTTCTGAGAACCTGAGAGCGATCGATAAACAATAAAAATAACCATGTGGGTATTTAAAAAATAATGTTGATGGTGGATTGTACGTGATGAAACCTTTATTAAAAAACTAATGCTAATTAATTAAATTTTTCAGTGAATTCCTTTATAATTTTTTGATATTTTCATAACTAGAAAATCTGGAGAAAAAGGAAAAAATACAATTTTTATTTTATTTAAAAAATTTGATATCATTTTAAGATTGTTTAATTCTGGTTGTGCAAGTTCCCGAATGTACTGAAAAAAAAAACGTTTTTATTATCACCTTTTCGAAAAATGTTATTCTTCATAAAAGTTTTTTCTTGTACTAATAATAATCCAAACAGAACTTGAATTTCTCTTTGCTTTGATAAAATAAAAAAAATAAAAAAGTTAAAAATAAAAATGAATTTTCTTTTGTCATTATTTCAGTAAAGCAAAGAGATATTCAACTTCTCTTTAAATTATTACTATTTTTGAAACAAATAAAAACTTTTATGAAGAACAACATTTTCCCTAAAAGCTAAAAATAAAAAAGTTTTTTCTATTTTTTTAGTCCACCCGGGAAACACTTTATCTTCTACTTTACTTAAGTGTCCTTATGAAATATAGTATGCCCTGTATATGTACAATATATTATGAAAAATGAGACTCCACTAATGTACAGTCAATTTAGAAGGGTTATTTTAATAATAATTTGTACTAATTTCTCAGACTACAAGAGGTGTATTGATACTAATTAATTTTGTGAAATATTCCAGTCCAGTATAAATACGTTACACAAATCTAATCCAGTTAGATTTGTAACATTATAGTTCAAAATAAACAACACTTTTTTGAAAATATTTGCAAATTTAAAAAATTCATAATTCGTTGAAGTATTAAGTTGTTTTTGTTTAATATTTCCTGGACTATATAGAAAGTAATAAATAAATATAGTTCAGGAAAATTTGAAATTTATCAGTTTTCAATTCGACAAAATGAGCTAAAATGAATCTCATATCATTATTTTAGATGTAACTAGGTAATAGATTGTCAAAATATCAAAAATGTATAAAATATATCACAAATATCATTTTTAAACTGTCAAAAATTACTTTTTCAGATTTCGAAAACTTCAAAAATTTTAATAAAATTTTATTATAAAAAAGTCTAATATTACGTTTTTAAATTGGCAAATATTTAGAACGTCAAATAAATAATCTGAATTAAATATTGATTTTAAAATGTTTTAAAACTATAAAAAAAAAACATGTATTCTATTTGAAGCTAATAAAATATTGAGTGTTTCGTTTTAATAGATGTTTACACTCTACCTCAAGACAATTTAAAAAAAATATAATACTAACCTGGCACGACACTTTATGCGTTTTATTTGGAAAATCTATTGGCAAAGTTTTATAACCATTGTAACTTTTTGGCATCAAATACGGATACGTCAGATTATTTTTGGCTTTTTCCAACTTTGCAGCATTCCATCGTTGAATAAAATGTCTAAAAGCAATTATTGATCAACTTTTAAAAACAAAAAAAAATATAATATAACTATTTTAATTTAAATTACAGATTACCTCTCACTTCACATACTACAACTTGCTTGTTGCGTACTTAACGCTGTCACTTATCATTTTTGTCCCTTGTCATGTCTGTTACTTGTCATATCTGTCACTTGTCATTTTTGTCATTTGTAATTTCTATCACTTGTTATACGTGAAAAACAAGCAAATGAGACTCTTTATTTCTCTACCCTATGCCTTTTTAAGTCCGTCTTTTTAAAGGATATTTGGATAGTGGACGTACCTGGCAACGTCTCTAGCAGCGTCTCCTTGCACGCACATCCCGATATCGTGCCAAGGCATCCTCGGAGTGGTGGTTCTGTCTATAAAATCGTCAAACGGTGATTCCAAATTGGTGAAATCTTTCACTATAAAATTAACGTAATCTTTTCCTAACCATAATTTCGCCGACCCGTCCAAACTATCGATGATTTGTTCGGGCGTTTGACCGTCGATTTGATCCTAAAACAATATCATATACAGGGTGAATCTCGCGAAACTTTATAGCTTATGACCGTATTGCCAAAAAGACCTAAACTTATATCTCTGTTACTAATGAGTTGATTTAAACGGGAAAAACGACATTCAATGTAAAATATCATTTACAATGAAAAACATGCGCAGTATCACTGTTAGAAGAACCTAAGCTTATATCTCCGTTATTATTCAATATGAACATTTTGTTCTAATTTCTACAGTCAAAAGTAATTTGTTTATATTTTTATATTATTGTATTAGTATTTAAAAAAAATAACTAACCTTTTCATCTGGAGGTGATTCAGGTTCAACTTTATCGAATTCGTGCGGGGTATAGACCAAATTCATCAATTCCTTCCCTTTGATTTTGATATTGTCCAAAATTACGTGCTTTCTATCTGGTTGTGGAGTGTTCATTTTCACCTAATTAATAATAAAATCATTGTGATGCTGATAAATCAGAAGAAACGAGTAAAAAAAAATAGCGATAATATATAAATAATTATAAGCTATTCGAGGCTAGATTGGAGGACACTACTAGGGATTTTTACCTTTCCAGGTTTACAAGGCATCATTAAATAATCACCCGGTTCTAATTGCGGTAGACCATTAGTAACGTCGGGATTTGGACAAACGTTTTCTTCTTCAACTTCTTGTACGTCTTCATGAGTCGCCCGTTTGTAATATGGTACCGGTATCGGATAGAAAGCTTCGCCACTCGGTACGCTAGATGTCTTTTTCTTGAGAGTTGAAACGTCAACGCTGGGCGTCATGCTACCCAAATCGATCAATCTAAAAACATTTTAAGGCCAGTTATTTTCTCTAAAAAATCTAGTTAAGTTTCTAAATGTATGTATTAATTAAAACAAGTGGAATCCACAGCATACAACTAATCTCAATCCAAGTTATAGGAAACACGATTGAAATTAAATCATGGTCGGTTCCCAGCCCATCTCTATAAAATCGGTGTAATTAATTCCCCTTTCTGTTCATGTGATAGTGAAAAGATTGCGGATTTGAATCATTTATTTTTTGATTGTGAAAATAATAAACAGTCTACAGAAAAGTTTTTTAAAGATCTTATTAATAACAGTTTCCATTTGCCATTGAATATTTATTACCTGTCTTCTAGCCTCAAACCAAAAATATATGTTAGATTTCTGCCGATTTAAAAATATAAAATTAAAAAAAAAGTTTAATCTAAAACTAGTATGTGGCAAATAGTTCAAAAATAATGCTAACCCACTCCCCTCCCACACACATACAACTGAAAGTAAAATTAAAGTCACCCTACCCTGTATTTAGTTTACCTTCAACTTCTCATAGATTGTAATTTTTACAATAGTAAACATCATTATTTAAATGAGTTGGAACTCTTTATAAATGTACTTAAATAAATATTTATTTTTTTATATTGATTATTATTAACTATACAAATAAAATCACTGAATCAGAAAAAGTAAATTTATTACGATTTATTTCAATAAATAATAGTAAACAATTGCGAAACAAGATCTAATAATATAATTCTTAAAAAAATATACAATATAATCAACAAAATTTGCTAAATCATTTTGTTATACGTTGCAACGGTCAATTTATCTTAAAAATCCGAATATGCTTTTCTAAAATTTTACTTGACAGTTGAATTAAAACTGACAGATAGCAAGAATTATGACAAACCATTGACAGGAAATTGATGTAACCTTTATTATAGATTGAATGACAGTTGACAGAATCCTAAACCATTGTTATCACAAAACACTGAACTAAATGTAAAAAATGAGACTTATATAAAAAATGTTCACATCTTTATTGACCTCTAATAAATTCTAGAAATAATGGCCAAATGATGGGAAAAACTTAGTTGTTGAAGCGCGATTAGTGATAAAGTTTCTTGTAGAAACATTGCATACATTTCTAGATATAGTTTATTTGGGAAATAGAAGGTATTTTGATTTAGAATTTAATCTAGTTATAGAACTTACCTATGGCTATGGTCATCCCATCTACCGTAACAAAGATCAATACCTCCAACAAAAGCGTAGGTTTGATCAACTACCACCATTTTTTCGTGGTGCGCCCACAGCAAAACTCCTGCTTTCGCGTGATCAGGATGTCGAAGGACCTTAATGTTAGAAGAGGATTCTGTCAGTTTCTGTTTGCTGTAATAACTGTTTAATCCCAAAGCCATTTCAACTTCCTTATAAAGCAAAACGTAAACTTTTACTCCACTGTTCTAAAATAAAATCCAGTAATATTTGTAACTAAATCCAAGATGGCAGGCGATGATCAACAAAACGAAACCGATTAATTAAAAATGATAACTTACAGCTTTCCTCTCCAAAACTTTGTTCAGCTGCCAATAGTCGCCAACTATGGCCGGCCTTTTCAGGTATATTTCCGGACTCAACCACCAGTCGGTAATGAAGACCTCTTCTTTGGCATTTTCAATGGCGTCGGCTACCGCCGACATATAGGAAGAACCATCAACGAACCAAGAGGCAGTTATATTATTTCTGATTGGTGCAAAGGAATGAAAGCGGTTGTATTGGACAAATTCTCGAGCTGGAAATGGTTTTTTGGTTGTTAACTTATAAGTGTTAGTGTTAATAAACTACTTAGATCTGGGTGAGGTGGGATTACAGTGGATTATTTTAAGAAACAAGGAAGATGAGTTCGGAGGTTGCGATAGGGAAGTAAACGAAAACCAAATTAGTAAAATAGATACCAGAGCCTTAAACATTTAAATCAACTAGTAATATAGGCATTAGAGCATAATAGTCGCTATAGTTTCTATAAACTTTAGCTACTTTTAGTTAGTACATAGTGATAGGTATAGTAATTTTGAAACTGTTATAAATAATTTTATTATTTACTTTATTCAACTCGTAGATTCAATGCGTATTCAATCAAATACTTTTCAAAGCATTTTTAAACATCAAATTGTGATATGAAATAAAAAAATATAAGCTCAAAAATTTAAGTAAATATATAAATGTTGAAGGTATTAAATATAAAATTTAATTCTAGAAAAAATCAATTCGTTTAACACCTTGCATTTTAGTTTTATCCAATTATACATTGTTTACCTATGCAACATCGTTTTTTAGTTTTGCGTTTTCCATTTTACTTATCATATCAGGAAAGTGTATTTTAAAGTAACAGAAACTTTTATATATATTACATCTGTGTTCAGTTTCTAGAAAACTTAATATTCAACAAAACTATGGATTTTTCATTATTTTTTTTTTACTTATCTTTCATATCTTTGTCGGAACACAGATTAAACTACTCCTAAACGTAATTTGCATTGCTTTATTTTTAAAATCTACATTCAACACCAATTTTAAACTTAAATTAAGTAACACCATTAAACCGAAAGTAAAACTGTAACTTGGCGCCCAACGTGGGGCATCTAAAAATATTCTTGAACTTAATTTGCACTGATCGTTTTTTTGGAAACCACATCAATCACATCAAGTCTTAGTTTTATTTGGAGTAAATTAAGTAACATCAGTAAAATTCATTAAACCTTAAAAAAAATCATCACACCTACCAAAAGTAGAGGCGACTTCCTTCAAACTTTCGCTCCATTCTTTGCTTTTCCTCCTGGTCCAACATTTAAACGTAATCTGTCTACTGAGTGTTTGAATTTGGAAGCCGTTTTGAATACCGATAGCGTACATACCAGTTGCAATTTCGAACCCTTGGTCAAAGAGTATGACAGCCTTGACTACACCGTTGTCAGGATTTATGTATCCGAAAAACGTGTCTTTTATAAAAAACCATCGTTTGACGTATCTGGAGCATATGAGATCGTTGCAAATGTGTTGACATCTGAAAATGTCGATATTTTAGATAAAATAAGACAAAAATTAATAAATATTGAATCAACTGTTTCAACCGATATCTAGACAAGAGACAATCAACAAAAATCTGGAAACATAAAAGAACTTCCAATTAGAAGAAGGCACTTCTAGTGAGACGATCCATAATACGGAACAACTTGAAATTAGGCTAGTTACTCCCAATGAAGTGGCGAAAGAAATTGAGACAAACATCAACCCATAGAAGGTCCCAGGATAGGACCTTATTTACAGTTCTTTACTTATTATTCACCAGCAACAAAGTAAGAATAAACAAATCGACCAAATACCTTGAAATGAACTTAGATGGGTGTAGATTTGAAAGAAAAAAAGCATATAAACAGAATGTAAAGAACTTGATCTTAAATTCAAAAAATGTATTGTCTCCTAGGAAGAAAATCCAAGCTCTCGGTGTTGTTTTATACAAAAAAATCTAAAAGCGGCAGCTATGAATGTGTGCCAGTGAACAGTATCAACATGATTATCTGCATAGAGACTTAAAGATGCCAACAGTCGAAGAAATAAAAAGGTTTGCTGTGAAACATAAGGATCGATTGACACCCATGTCAATGAAGAAGCCCTGCACTTACTGGACAACTCTATACTAGACAGAAGCCTCAAAAGGAGAAAGCTATTCGAACCAGTGCAGTGAACATTAATGTTAGTGCTAATCTAAAACAGTATAGTTGTCAGTATTCTAGAAATAGACTTTTTTAGATAGGTAATTAGTTTATAAGATTAAAATTGTGTTTGGTTAAAAATATTATTTCCTTACCGCACGCAACACAACCAATGTAATAATCCGAAACAGTTGCATCCAGATTGGCCTGGATGCGTACTGCCAGTTTTCTTTTTGACAGAACCCTCTTTACCTTTCAGACCAAGTCCTTCTATAAACGATAAATGAGACACTTCCAAGAATTCTATCTAAAACACATGTAAAATTAAATCAAATTAAAAAAAAATAAGAATTAATGAAAAAATATAATTATCTAGCTACTCCGGTCACGTGCAGAACATACACAGGACCGAATTAAGATAATTATGACAATATTGAAAGTAGAGAAGTACGTACAGTAGCTGGGTGAGTTCTATATATGGGTATAGAAAGTAGATTATTCAAATAGCTTTCGATTTGTTTCATTCTGTTTCCGATTCTATCATAGGACACCAGAACTTCAGGTTTTCTTGGAAATCTAAAAAAACAATGTCTTTTTAATCCTAACTATTCTATGTTCATTTTTAATGTCATCTGTCAAAGTGTGAGTGGCAGTTGTAAAATGTCTATATCCAATATGCAACCAATATGCAATTATATAGTAACATTTTTCAAATACTTTTATATGCAATTTCAATGAGAATTAAAAAAAAAACGTCAAAATTTACGCAGCCAATTCCAGTAATTTTGGGATACTTTGTATATGCAAAATTCATAGCAACTGATTTCCTGTCAATACATTTTTAAATATACAAGTATATGCATACTGGGTAGGCCAACCTACATGTTCCCCCTCTGAAGTCAGAGATGGATTTTGGAGATGGTTAATAGCTCTTTGAGCACGCGGTATGAACATGACAATTCTAACCATCGCCAAAAAGCGTTGAAGGCTGTCAAGCTTGAAGTAAATTCTCAATGGTTTGTGACTAAGTGCCATCTAAAAATATTTAAAACATTTAAAATTAAACATGATGATAACGCGTCATCTCACATAACAAAACTAATGGTCGATTTTTTGAAGGATAAAGGATTAAAGTATTGTAAGATCCACCGTATTCGACGGCTATGTGTGACATCGAGATTAAAAAAATATCTACGGGATAGGAGATTTTGCACTGAAAAATAAAATTAATCCGAATATTATTACGTTTTTTAGGGGTTATTTTAGATACCGGGTTGGACGCAATTATCTCTTTATCATCAAGGAGTACGTATATGTACCAACACCTGTTAAAGGTCCAAATATGGTATATTGACGTTATATGGAATTATTTCAAACATTTAAACAACCAATGAGTAATGAGTATCTCAAAATTTACGGAACAACATTAATAAACATCGCTGCTGACCTGGGCAAGGCACTTTTTCGTTTGCCATTAGATTTTTTACTTCTCTTGAGAGATTTTCTCTTATTTTTGTGAGTTTTGGTTGGAAATGGTATGTTTAAAGTGGTCCTAAACAAAATTAATTGTTGATGAAGATGCTGGATTTGTTTGTATCTCTTCTTGATTTGCCATGTAAAATTGCTGTGAGTGAGAGTGATTGTGTACCTGAAAAATAATCAGTTAAAGATATCTCAAAATATATTATTATTAGTTTAAATTTAAATTAAATCAGGTATTAAATAAGATTGTTTTGGGAACTTACAGATTAGGATTGAGCATGTGCGTGGTGAGATTTCTTTCATAATCTGTTATTGCTGCTGTTATATCGAGGCCTGGTATAAAAACCTCTCGATGGAATGAGGTAAATTTTTTATAATTTAATACTGTGTTAAAATGAAGACTTTCTGTGTGTTCCTCTAAAAAAGCGAATAATAATATATTGAAATTAACTATAATTTAGTTTAATATTCTAACAAAAGTTATATATAACACAATCTTTAATACTTCATCGCTTTTAGTTTGGTGCAGTTTAGAAAATACTCAGTTTCAAACCAAATTTTGAAGCTATAGGTCATTCACTGAATTTACACCCATATCGGATTAAGAGATAAATGAAAGATTTGACTGGTCAGTTGTATTTTAAACATTTACTCAAGGGTGGCGTTATTTTGTATATTGCAAGGGGTTCTTATAGAAACAAAATTTCAGTCAGTGAATGACCTATACAAAAGAATTGATGGGAAATTACTGCTGTCAGTAAATACTTAAATAGTACTGACATCTGAAATCCAATATTTCTAGAATTTTTAGAGGATTTCTAGATATTTTAAGAAATTTTCATAATTTATGATATGTTTACGAACAATTTAGTGATCCGAAATCTATCAAAACAATTGGTTTTAAGTTCTCCTGAGACAATACAATAGAAACAAAAGTATTATTATAAATTTTATTTGATTTCCAGTTTTAAAAGTATACAAGAATGAGTTATAACTATTCGTACATAGATAAAACGCAGGTTATTTGGACTAAAATGCGAAGAAAAATTGTGGAAATGGCAGCTAAAATAAAATTAGAATTATCAGACTTCTACAAGAAAGATTACCTATGCCTGAGTTTGAGTTAAAATATTTAATACAATATTGTTAAAGTTTAAGTTTAACAATAACTACATTTTATACACAGGGTGTTCCTTTATGATACGCGAATATTTAAGGGTGTAAATATACTTGAAAAATTAGTGATAATTTACTTTATTAACTATGCTCCAAATATTAATTTTTTTTTCTTTCATTATTCAATAATTTAATTAATTTTCTCGGACAATACAAGTTTTTTTTTTTTTTAACCGAGCAACGTAGAAAAACAGATCTTGTAAGTTTAGAAATAATTTATATACTTTAGCACCCTGTAGTTTCGTAACGAAACATTTTTGGACCATATTTTATAAAGCAAACTATCATTAATTTTTCATGTAAATATTTGCATATCATTAAGGAGCACCCTGTATATTATATTCTGTACCTAGACTTGTTAACTAAAACTGGTCCTATTTTTTTTTATAAACACCAATGATATTACATCGCTTTAAGTGGCCTTATTAATAAAATTTAAATAGATAAGTAATTATTATTAATAATAACTTTGATTATACACTGTTTAAGTTAAAGATAATTTAAGATAAAATGATCAGATATATATACATATACATTTTTATTAAGATTGTGTTATTATTAAAAAAATATAGACTACAGTAAATAGATTATTCGAACTAATTATTAATTGAAGGTCACTCTGGTAATCTTAATAAAAAAATACATTTTTTTTACTAATATTAATAAAGAATAAATAATATTTATATATTTGTTTAGGTTAGGGTAATTAACGATTAGCGTTTGACGTAAACACTTTTTTCAGACTTCATTTGATTATTTATTTTTAAATGGACGACGTGCAGCAAAATGATAAACGCTTAAACATTGAAAATAATGAACAGGAGTAGCATTTTTTAATCATTTTGATTTTTTATTTAAATCAAAAAAGTTAAAGTTCACTTTGCAACAGTGTGTTTGTCATTTTATTATCTTAAATTCAGTTATTACAGGTTTTAAGGGACATTATAATAAATAAACTTTTAGATAATGGTGAATATTGTTTACAAATCGGATATCTCTTATTATGTTGCGGTTTATTATCAGAAAAACATATTATTTATCTACATACAATGCAAAACATCATTTCCTCTTTAAAAATCAACAAAAAAAAGTAAAAAATTATTTTGTAGAATAAAAAAAATACGTTCAATAATATTTTAATTCAAGGAGTCTTTGGAAAAATTCAGGCATGTCGGAGCATTCAATTCTTCTTCTAAGTATTAAAGTAATATTTATCTCACTTTTGCGATTAAAAATTGTAATTTAATATTACAGTTGTTAACCGAATCAATTTCTTGCTATTACATTCTAAATTATTAAAAAGAAAAATGCTTTATAAGTACAGGTTTATTACGTACCAACAGCTTTATTACCTACCTTCGAGATCATCGTCAGAATTTTCAATAGCTACAGGTCCGTCACCCATGTCGAGCAATTTTATTGACCCTGGAACACCTAATTCGTCATCGTAGTCTGCATCTGATCCAAGCGATCCCAAACTGGGTCGAGTCATCGACATTTCGTTATACGGTGTACTGTCTTCAGTATCACTGCCGTCAATATTTTCTCTGGTATCCATTTTTCCAAACAGGCTATCTATGTTACTGTTAAAAAATAATTATTATGCTTAGAGCGAGTCGTAAGTTTTCAAATGTAGACACTTAAAAAAATCGTTTAATGCTTCATGGCCTCTAAAACCGGCCCTATATAAAATAGTATATTTGTTTTTACTGGATATCAATTTAGAGAATTTAACATTGACGTAACTGTGAAATAGATGCGCAATAATCAAAATGTGGCTGAATTATGGTATTTTAGTTTTGGTCTCAGTTTATAAATTCTAGGAAACAGTCACTCTTGTTTCTTTGACAGGGGCTTTGGGCTTTTTCTTTTTCCTGTATTTTTATTTTTAAATATTTCATTATTATTTTATGCGCCAAGCTGGTCCCCGGTAGGTATTTTGCAAAGTTATTACGAGATATACTGTTTGCAGAAATCCACTCTTTTGTTTAAAAACCTTTTATAAAATGCCTAGTCTTTTTGCAAAAAGCCGGATTACTTAATATGCTTGCCACACATATATTTTGTAATATTTAAAAGCTCTTTATAAGGAATTCTAGAAGAGTAGTTCCAATGTACGATTTAGGTATGTGGCCACATTTCACAAAAATATGTTTTCAGAGCAAGTTACTTATATTTTAAAAGCTTCTGAAGAATTTTTAAATGAATTAAGTACCTATAGAAGCTCGTAATATTTAACAAAATATTTCTAGATTGTTTTATAACATTTAAATTCATAGTTATCTTTAGAAGAGTATTTCAAATATACTATTTATTCATTTATATAGAAACTGAAATTTTACAAAAAAATCTGATGTGTCCAACACATGACTTTCCTATCTAGTTATTATAGGCTTTTTCCGGTTATTTTGTACAACCTATTGCAGCATCTCTATAAATGTTTAGAGGATAAACTAAATATATACATTGTCCACATACATCTACCTCGAAACATTTTTCTATAGATATTCATTAAAAACGAAAATACTGAAATTTTCCTACAATTTCTTCATTACGGTCCATTTTAGAAAAATCATGTATAAACAAAAATTATAGAGATCGATATCGCAAACAACTTTTATTTCAAAAACTTTCATAAAAATCAGAATTTTGCACATCTTGTCAAATTTCTCGAATACGGACCATTTTAGGAAAATTTTGTATAGAACAAAAATTATAGATTATATTAGAAGTAACTTTTATTTAAAGAATTTTCTTCTCCAAACATAAATAACAGATATATTCCATAAAATATAGAAACGGCCTCCCATAAAGTACCCCCCCAGATGTTCCGACTTTGTCCAAAATCGAATCATTTCACGTCAGGCCGAAATAAACCATAAGTTTAAAATTTAATGTTTTTTTCTGTATCCGTTTTTGAGTTTTCTTCAAAATTCGAAATTTACACATTTTCTCAAATATCTCGAATACGGTCCATTTTAGAGAAATTATGTATAGAATAAAAATTATAGAGAATTTTATTACAAACAACTTTTATTTGAACAATTTTTATAAAAAATTATTATTTTTAAATTTTTTCAAATTTCTCGAATACGGACCATTTACGGAAAATTTTGCATAAAACAAAAATTATAGATAATTATATTAGAAGTAACTTTTATTCGAAGAATTTTCTTCTCCAAACGTAAATAACAGATATATTCCATAAAATATAAAAATGACCACCCATAAAGTACCCCCCCAGATGTTCCGACTCTGCCCAAAATCTAATCAGCTCATTGGACGCTAAAACAAAGCTTAAGTTTAAAATTTCGTGTTTTTCTGTGTATCGGTTCATGAGTTATGCGTTATACAGACACACACACACACACACACACACACACACACAGACACACACACAGACACACACACACACACACACACACACACACAGACATCATCGCCAAAATAGTCAAAACGGATTCAGGGGACCTCAAAACGTAAAAATCCGTCGAAAACTCGAGGTCGAAAAAAATCATGATTCCTATACTTTCCTTATATCTGTATAGATAGGAAAGTAAAAATATGCAGAGTATGTTTTATATTACATTTAAATTATTTTTAGAGGAGTTCAGAAGAGTAGTTCAAATGTACCATGTTAATAGAGCAAAAAATGTTCTCAAGAGTAGTTCATATGTACCATTTATGTGGATACTTATATTTCCCAAAAATATGTTTTCTGAGAGAATTTCAGAAGAATAGTTCAAATGTATCATTAATAAATTTACATAGAAACACTTAATATTCGTTCTCGGAATGTGTTTTATAACATTCAAATATTTCATAATGAGCTTTTGAAGAGTAGTTCATATGTACCATTGCTAAATTCCGCTAAAATAACTTTTTCTTGCAATAAATTGCCTACTCACCTAAAGATTTATTAGAAAAATTGATGTTACGGTTGAAAGAATAAAATAGTGATGTGTGCCTGCATTCAAATTATCATTCAAGTGTACGACTGATAAAAGGATTAAACTCGCGATTTTTGAACCAAGGCTGAAACACTTTATCGAAATAGTTTATTTTTAAAATTTAATAGAATTAAACCCATTATAAAAATCGACCACATACAACCCAACACATCCTGCAATTTACATTCCATATAATAAAGTATAATTACCTACCTTATTTTTTTTATATAAATTTTAATACGAAACAAACACTTATTAATTAGACCAACATTAATTAAATAAAACTAAGCTATCACATGATTTCACAAAGACTCCGATTTCGGGTAATTCCAGCGCAACAATTTCATGTTCTTAAGAAAAGAAACTGGGGATTTTAAATGGAAATTCGCATCATGAGTCACAGAAAAGTATCAGAAACAGACTGAATGAGAACATAGAACATGCAAACACTTTCGCATTTCCATTTTCAAGTTTCATAAACATAACCTCTAAAAGTCAAGGCCAAAATAGAAAAAGGTGTAGCTAGTGCCATCTATACGTATAAGTGATAATGTCGTTAAATGATCTTATAGATTCCTGTAACCCGTGCTTGATAGAAATATTTTTTCCAGCTGAAGATGGCGATAATGTAAGAAATAGGCATTATAAACTACATACAAAGACTTTCAGTAGTTCCTCATGGTTCAATAGTTGGCCCCTCATTTTTATTATCTATATTAAAGGTCTCATAAATGTAATACATTCCCTAGTTTTTGAAATATGGGAAAGGTGATTTATGATTTGCATTAAGAAAAAATACACTTTTATAAAAAAACTTATTTAATCTTTTTTGGTTTAACGATCAAAATGAAAAATCACTCTAAGGCCTAACATTATTCTTATTGTTCGTCTTTTTTGTGCCGTCTTCGGGACAAGCTTCTTCTAGCTGAAAGTATTCGCATACTGGCCTCTCCAAATTGGCTTCCTAGTGGTTTCACTTCTTCTTTTTCCAATTCCGGATTTGGTTGCTCTTCTTCAATGCCGTCTAAAATTTTAATCAACAAATAGCAGCAGAAAACTTGATTACCTATATTTAATAGAAGCGTGCGGTCTAAGGAAACAAAGAAAGCGTTGCTTTCCCTAAAATATAATCAAAGTTAAATGACATAGTCAGCCTGTAAACAGCACGAGAAGGAGCGTTTTAAATGAAATTCCAATGTAGCAAAAAAGATAATAACCCATTACTCTGCCTCTGCCATACTAATAAAACTGCAGCTATTAACGCAAAAGTTTTCTTCATTCATGTGCCTCTGGACTCTCTCATCGTCTACCTTCCACCTCTATCTGAATAAGCAACTAATTATTAAACTGCATATCGATAAGATTAGAATATGCGGGGTCGAACGCGAAAGTGGGAGGTTAAGTGCAGTTGCTCTGCTACCCGAGCATATTTGAAATAGGTATTTGGGATGACGTGTTATTTATTTAACGATCGATTCCCAAAATGTTATCGAGAAACTAAATATAATATAAAACGGTAGGTCTAAGCCTGCAATGGAAAACCTAACTACAGTCTGTTCGCTATACTTACGCGGGTTTCGGATTAAACATTTTATGAATATTTCCAGTTAAGTACCCGAAAGTTTGACCTGTTCTTTGGGGAAATATCAACTGGTTAAATGAAATGAAAAATAATGTACAACTTTTTAATTAAATAATAATGGAGAATCTTTTGTATAATTGAGAGCAGAATTAAACTTCTTCATTAATGAAGTCTAATGTGGCTATTATAAACCTAATAATAATTTTATATTACACTTCACACACAAATTTAGCTCTTTAACGAAAAATGGTATTTATTCTCACCAAAACTAACTAGCTACACTATTTCGAGTTTGACATTGACGTAAAAATCTAATACAAAAGTGCGGACAATTTAGCATCGTCATAGCATCTCCTTCTTGTTCTATCTCAATGGTTGGCACTATCATTGCACTATACATATATGAACATATACAGTTACAATTAAAAATATTACCTTCTATTTGTTCTAAAGATATATTTTCTGTTTTCGATATACGTTCCAAGACTTGTACAAGGTGTTTTTCCATTTTCGAAATATCTGTAACTTTTTCAACGTTCGTTTGTGATATTCTTAATTTATCTTTTTCAGATTTTGCTAAATATGTTCTTAATAGATAGCATAATGTAGAGTCCATAACATCTTCCCAATTCTAAAACATGATTACATTGGAGTTGGCTGTGAAACTTAAATGTTTTGGGTTAGTAGTTTAGCCACTTCCACAGAATGATATTTATCTAAACGTTTGTGTCAAATTTGTTAAAACTTTTATTAAGACAATTAAATTTAAAAAATGGTATTCAAAACTGATCAAGTTACTTCCGTACAGGTGTAAATGTAAATGGCAAGGCAGTATTCAATTCTAGAATGCATGCCTGATTATCATGAAGAATATAGTAAATTAGTGCTTGACTACAGTGGTTTTTACAATATTTTCTTACCTGTGAATCCAAATCTTCGACACTAGGGCAAAAAACGGACAATAAAATTTCTTTCAACTTATCATCGATATTCATAATTTTGATCAAGTTTCCTATCAAATTCAATGCGCAAGTCAGTTCCGTCTGGGCCTTGAATAATTCCCCATTGGCTTCTTGTAATTTCAAAACTGTTTTCAATATTTCCGTGTAAGTATCCTTGATTAGAATTTCTAAATTAGTAAGAGGTGTCGGGTTTTTCACTTTGAATTTCGATATCAACCGTTTTTGGATTGTTCTGAACTGGGCACTCAGTTGGTCGAGGAAATCCTGGAAGAAATGTTTAAACAGTGCAATCAAGAAGAAAAAATACATAATATAATTTTTTTAAGAGTATTCAAAAGGATTGTGAGAATTTGGCTTGTTCAGGCGTCTGTGGATTATTCCAAACACGAAGGGGCAATGAAATAAGATTACTCTACTCCTGGTTAGTTATCGGCAAGAATTCTGCTATATATATGCTGTTATAATTATACTCTCAGCTTATTTGGCAATAGCAATTTTAATATTTTTAAACACACTTGTTAACTATCTCTGCATAAATGCATTTAATTTAATAGAATTTTAAACTCTAATATACAGTAAGTGAGTCACCTTCATGATTAAAACGTATCACATGGTATACATAAGGATAAGCAAATCTCATTAATCCCGATTTTCTTCTGAACTGCATTATAATTAAAAATTTTACGACATGTCATCAAAAACTAATCCTCCAATAATCCAGTAATACCTCATAAAAAGTAAGATTCCATTTATCGATCTCAATAAATATACCCACCTCTAATTCAAAAACTTCTCGTCTTTTAGTAAAATGGTTTTTAACGTAGGCAATGACTTCGTTAGAAGGTAATGAAGAATTGAAAAGCATTTTAAATTCGTCTATATTCGAATGATGCTTCGTCAAGCGATGAATTAACTGTTCTATCACGAAACTCAAGGATGTAAATGAGGATGTTTGAATCCTGTACCTCTCGGAGGATTTAGCAAGAAGGATTGTCACAGGTTGCGCGTTGGTTGATAAACTTTTGAACGCTATAGAGCTGGTGGACTTGGTGTCTTCTGCAAATTCTAAAAACAAATTTATTATACTAATCAAATCTAAGGTCAGGCATAAAAAAGTACCTGGAAATAAATTGAGCAAAGGCACCATATTCTGATTAATATTCAAAGTTACTTTATGATCACCCTCTTTATGCGCAGGACAAACTTCAGCCACCAAACTTAAAGGCAACATGGCTGCTTTATTAAAGTTTCTGGGAACCCCCAAGGACGATATTACTGTAACAACGACGTTTAGAAACAAACTTGGCACGTTCATATCGTCAGACAAGTAAACGTGACATTTAACAGCCATCAGTTCATCTGGGTTTATAAAAAATTGCGTACTAGGTTCTACTTTTAAAGGTTTTGATACGGCTAAACTTATTTGGACTTCGTCGAAAGCCATTTGAGGTATCACTTCTATATTGACAGTGCACATTTGAAGGTTTGGAACGTCTTTTAAATTTGTTTCGAAGATACAAGGTTCTAAATTTTTGTCTACGTTGATTTTTATGTTGATTTCCTTATCTGCGTTTTTGTTGGTGAGTTTCAAATCTAAAAAAATAATTAGTATATTATTTATTTTGATTCAGGGTGTCCCAAACCTCTCACAAAATCTTGATATAAAAGAAAAACTTATTAATATCATATACGCAATTTCGTGAGGAGATAAAAGAAATAAAAGCAAGACGAAGTTCATGGTGAGTCGACTCCTTCATAATTGCAAACTGGGTTGCTGATTTTAGAACAAGCATAAAGGATACACCACGATCTAGCAAACCAAAACCAGTTACCATTGAAGTAAAGTTAATAGAGATAGCAAACGACTACATATATTGCATATTAAGGCTCATTTACATTTATCACGTTGGAGGTTTATCTTAGAGGAATCATCCTTGTTGAACTTATAAGGTTGTGACTGAAGAAACCAATGAATAATTTCAAAAGGAAATACGAAGATTTTATTCAGAAATAACTAAAGCGAAAACTTTCCTAAAACCTGACTTACTTTTTATAAAAACTCAAGACTGACAAGGCACATTTTGCAACTTTAACAATCCTAAATAATAATTGTAAAATGAATACCGCTTAAACATAATGACTCCCTACCAACTTTTGATGAAGGAGTCATTTTCTGAACCGATAATTCATCCAGGTTGAAGGCGCAGTGAAAATGTCAAACGTTCATTTCAGTCCCATTCACTATTTAGTTCACATCCACCAATCGAATTTCGGCAGTAGTTCAAAATTTTCTAATACCATAAATAGTTTTGCACCAGACACGGAATAGCCCCGAAATGAACTGTGACAGTGTTCGTGAAAAGTAAAACCACAGACCTGGTTGAAGATATTTTAAGCAAGGATTATTGTTCTGAATGATTTCATTCTGCGTGATTCACTTTGGATCTACAAAATGATACAGTGTAAATCGCGCTTTACATCAACATTTGGTAAACGGGTAGAACTTTGTCAAAAGTTTGGGACATCCTGTAAATAAAATGAAAATAAGATTCCTTACCATTTCCGTAAGTATCTTTAATCATTTTATTTAAATTAGATAATTCGTCTTCGACTTTTTCTAAATCCAGTTCTCTTTCGATCAATGGTGGTGCGACAAATAAATTTGGTTCCGTTCCCAAATACGAACATTCCAATCGACCTTCTTCTGATAAAAAAACTAGAACTCCTTTTACATTTTTAAAGAAGGCTCTTCTGATACTGATAGGTAAGAATTGAAGTTTGGCAGACCATTTTAGAGTCGTCGTTTCGTATACCAAGAGGTTGGTGGTTTCTGATACCACCAAAGAGAAAAATTTTTCATCTAGAAAAAATATACAGATTTTAGCAATGAAAATAGTCATTTTGAGATTAATAACAAGCTAAGAACTTGACCAAATAATGGAAGTTTATTTTTCTAATGTGTTGATATAAATATAATCTGTAAATTAGTCTGAAACCCTGAATGCATTTTTGTTTGTATTTTATAGAGATCGCTGGTATAGGATCCCATGAGGAATAATTGTTGAATTGAAGCACGTTTGTAGTGTCTTTAAAACCGCACTTTTTTTATAATGAAATATTTAAACAATATTATTCTAGGTTTTTGGAATTAAAAAAATTATAAAGTAAATAACAATTATTATTCCTGTTACTTAATAAAATTCATAATGTTTTCCAAGAAAAGATATTAGAAATAGCTGTATGTAAGAAGTGTTAAGAAGATATTTATATCCTAAAACCAACTTACGTACTTATTAAATAAACTTCAAAGCAAACAGGAGAATATTCTAATTTTTTCATAAAATTCAGTCTTCCAGAGTCAAATAAACAGTACAAATTTTTTTCACCGAGAATCATGATGTAATTCAGTTTATTTACATCGTCTTCTACTACACGTATGTCAATGATACTTTCACCCAGATTGTAGGTCCACACAGGTATCGCCTTATTTGATAAATTCGATTTAACATCTTTTTGGTCTCCTGATTCAGAAAGGGTGTTGTACCTAGATAATAATGTTATTGAACAAGATAAAAATGTTAAAAATACTTATGTATAATTAGTACTTACTTGTAAGATACTATCGCCCAATTTCCATTCCCTGTAATAAAACTGTCCGTTTTTTTGACGTAGGTCATAGGACTGGGAAGCAGAAAATCAGACAGGAAGCAAGAAAACGTCAGATTTTCTTGCTCGTAAAAACTCAACATCCCATCTAGAAATTGTACGCAAATGAAATCTCTGTTTTGGGAACCACCGAATTGGCCTATAGTAAAATTAGCTGCCGATCTTTGAAGGTGGTGGTCATATATGACTTCAAATGTAGTTTGAGTAACTAAAAATATTAAAAAAATCGTTTTTTACTTGATGAAAAGTAATAAAATACCATTTTTACTTAGTCCCAGATAGCACAAAGTCGTCTTAAAGACGTCTTTAAGACGTCTAGCATAAGACATTCGAGACGTCTTTAAGACTTCTGGTATTTCCTGAAAGACGTCTTTAAGACGTCTTAGAAGACGTCTGATGTTACAAAAAGCGACGTCTTTAAGACGTCTTATTAATGGCTTATATTGGTCTGTAGAGCTTAAAATAAGCCATAAATAAGACGTCTTTAAGACGACTTATTAATAGCTTGTAATGGTCTTGTGAAGCCTTAAATAAGACATCAATAAGACGTCTTTAAGACGGCTCATTAATAGCTTATAATGGTCTTATGAAGCCTTAAATAAGCCATAAATAAGACGTCTTTAAGACGTCTTATTAATGGCTTATAATGATCTTATGAAGCCTTAAATAAGCCATAAATAGGACGTCTTTAAGACGTCTTATTAATGGCTTATAATGGTCTTGTGAAGCTTTAAATAAGACGTCTTTAAGGCGTCTCATAAAAGGCTTATAGTGGTCTTGTGAAGCTTTAAATAAGCCATAAATAAGACGTCTTTAAGACGACTTATTAATAGCTTATAATGGTCTTGTGAAGTCATAAATTATACATCTTTAAGATGTTTTATTAATGGCTTATAATGGTCTGGTTAAACTTAAATAAGCCATAAATAACACGTTCATTATTTTTATTCTGCTAATTCTATAACCTGTTTATAATAATATAAAATAATTTAAAAATGGGTGTCATCGTGCATCTTGGTTATTAAAATTAGTATAACCTTGCAGGTTATAAACAATGCAAAAAATAGAATTAAAAATATTTATTGATAAAATATCTATTAATCACAGGTCACTAAAAGTTATTTTCTTTGTAGCGCATTCGATCACTCCTCTTTAGCCATAACTGGATTGATTTTTTTCTTTCTTTTTGATTTGAAGTTGCCTTTGTATAGTCGCTCCTAAAAAGAAATTTTGGTAAGAGCATTATAGTCACAGGAAGTTATACTTTGTAAAAGTTAGTAAAAACCGAAAGATTATGAAACAAAACAAAAAATTAATTTCTTACAATTTTAAATCAATTTTTATAATAAATCATTTAAGACAAGATGAGCTATTATACTTAATCGCCTATTTTGACAATTTTACTTTAACTTCACTCAAAATGGCTATCTAATATGTGGCTTTTGATATCAATAATTCTCGAAATCTCCATAAAATTAAAAAAAGGAAATTGACAAATAACTGAATTAAATCTTATATTAAGATGTCTACTTTTTAATTCATTTAATTATTTTTATTTAGAAGAAACAGAATATTAATGTTTATGAAAATAAACAAATATTCATTTATTACCTGTAGAAAGTATTCCAGGAACGTGATACATCGGTAATAGTAACTCCACTATTCTTCCTTCTCTGATTTTAGTCCCATATTATTTAAGTAAAAAGAGACCAAACACAAATGCACAAAGTAGCCCAAACACACTTTTGGAGGCTATAATCGCGTACGCAATAGAATAATCAATAATTCACAATAAGCTTGGGCTTGAATGTAGTGTTAAGTCAAACGTCAAACTTCACTTCATTTGATTCTTCTTTTAAATTTGAATTATGTAAACCGTGCAAGTTTCCGTCCGACAGAAAGACGTTTGTAAGACGTCTTAAAGACGTCTTTGAGCTTTCACATTAATATATGGATTTAGAAAGACGTCTTTAAGACGTCTTAAAAACGTCTTTGAGCTCTCACATTAATACGTCTGAATTATGGCTTTTGACAGACGTCTTATAAGACGTCTTAATAACGTCCTAGGACATTGAGACCAAACCAAGACACAAAAAAGACGTCTTTTAGACGTCGTGTGCTATCTGGGGTTTGTTCAATACTTACTATGTTCAACGGAGCTTTCTTTAATTTTCAATAAATATATAGAGAGATATCTAGGATTTAGTATAGCAGTTTGATAGACCAGAGATCCCCTGGAAATTAAAATGATAAATTAACATATAAAATGACAATCGTTTTGTATTGAAACCTTACAGGCATTTTTCTACTGGTCTATATAAGGAAAAAAAGATAAACAAAAAATATCAAAAAAAACCTTAATCTATAAAAAGAAAAGTTCTAAATGCCTGCGTATTTAGGTATTTTTAGATCAGTTATGAATGTTTTATAAGAAAGCACATACTGGATGTCCCAAAAAACCTTCTGATTAAAATTTTGTAAAAATACAAAAACAAGTTAATCTAGTAGTTTTAGATTTTATTGTTTTATTTCCTTAATAGAGGCCCTACACGCTACGATTTTTGTTAGATTTGAACTATACAGTCCATCGATTTAGTCCATAACTCAACGTAAAGTGCTCGATCTAACTCACACCTGTCCTCTTTTGTCTAATGTGAAGATGGCCTGCAGGCCATATCGGAGCGTTCAGGGCCTTCAGTTAGACTCTGCCTCTTCAAATATTGTACATAACAGCATTTAATTAATTAAAGTATAAGTTTATCCACATATCAACATATTTAATACGTCACTCTGTATACTTACGATACAAGCCTGCCGCATCCGATCTGTAAAATAGGTTGATCGAAAACCTTCTCGACTACCAAATCCGTTGGAAGGAACCCATTAATGTCATTGTCGACTATCTCGCATGAGGGCTTAAAAATTCTCAAAACCCCGCTCTGGCTTCCTGTTATCACGTAGTTACTATCACCGTTCAAAGAGGTGGTGATCATGGAATTCTGATCGAAGTATTCGACATCTTCGCTTTGAGTTGTCCAAAACTCTCGCGTTTTAAACAAGGACATCCCGAGAATGTTACGTTATAGATTACAGGATGACACTAGATTGATTACTATAAGTAATTCATGGATAGAATCATCGTGGACAGAAATATATTGATTTTAATTTGAATGTAAACAATTCGAGCGGATCGATAAAATTCTGAGAGTGTCGTTTGGTCTAAAATAGTGCCTTTACTGTTAGATAAATATTATTTATTAATTTATCAATTTAAATCAAGTGTTCAAATTGATGTCCTTTGACTAAAATACAGTGAAAAAGACGAACATCGAACTTTTATCAAACTTTCTCTATAATTGTCGAAATTATTTTTGCAATCTATGCGTATCCGTTCTTTAAGTTAATTAATATTTTTTGTCTATCTTGATACACTTTAATACACTTCTAGTATGTCAATTTATTTCAACGTCATTTCCGTTTCCTACAACATAATATTTTTTGTTTGTTTGCCGGGTTCAATTGAATGAATTAATTCAATTTTTAATATTAGATTCCTTCTTTATCATTTTAGTCATCTATATTTGCGTTCAGTAAACTTTAGGTAAATCCTTCCTATACTAAATTACAGTTACCTACCTTCTAGTTGGTAACCTATCTGATCCATTTTACTTTTAATTTGTTTTTGTCCTGATTTTTAAAATGTTTCGTAAATTGTTTTTATCGTTTAGTGTAATTTAAATATTGTTTAGTTTTTTTTAATCGTTGAATTATAACTTAATTTCTCGGACACTATTTTTAATATATATTCACTCGGAGTGTCCTTTTATTACCATATGGCAAAATTAGGTAGCTTATCCGTAATGGATTTGTCATGATAAGTCAAATTGTTACTAATTAATTTCTGTTCAATTTTCATTTTTGTATTACATAATTTTTACCTTTCAATACATTGACTACATGACTTTTCATTTAGGTATGCCTGATGATGAAATAATTACTTCGAAACCGGTCGCCAATAAAGTGACTCTGTGAGATAGGAAGGATTTTTCTTTACAACCTTCGTGCTTAACTCATCTGTTCATCTGATTGGTTTATCGAAGAATTTTTCCAATGTGAAATAATCTTTACAAAATTACCAGATTTTGACCTTTAACCAAAATCTGGTAATCTATAAATAAATAACAACTATTTGGAGTAAACTTTTAATTATTAGATCAACGTTAAATAAATGGATAATTTTTTTTTATTGAACACCTGCCTTTGAAATATCAGATCGGCGTCATTTTTAAATATACAGAATCTTAAAGATAAGCTATTGTCTCACCTATCAAACTTTAATCTCCGTTTATACATAAAAAAAGTGACACATTTTGCTACTGTAATATAATATCATAAATAACTAACGAGGTTTTAATTCTTTTTTTGCTTGCCTACCTTATAATAAAATCTATGTTTACAAACGGATCAATGTTTATTGAAAATAAATTATTAAAGTTCACAATCATTTTTAAATAATAATGCATTGCTTGATAAAAACTATTTAATGTTGTGCAGTTTTGCAAAAACTATTTTAATCATAATTATCAGTATATCAATCAAAATCATTATTATCAATCAATCAATCAAAGTCATTATTTAACAATTATTATATTAAGCTTTAAAGAAAGATTAATTTTTTTGTTCTTGTTGATAAGGTTTTTATTTGATTTGCAATCTTATTAATTTAACGCCATTTTAGCTTCTTGTTTTAGTCTTCATTTAAATGTGTTCCGTCTAATAAATCTGTTTAATATATTTCTTAAATTTTATATAAATCAAATTGCACTGTCGTCGTTGTTACTAACATTCGTGACATATTACTCTTGAATATTTTAAATAGAACGAAAGGTTTCAAAGGGATCACTTCGACAAGAAGGTACAATAGTAGCTTTTAGAGCACGTTTGTATTATTCCGTTAGCATTTTAGAACTGTAGTGGAAATTGTAGTTTTTGATATCTAATTTTAAATGGCATAGGTTGTCCACGAATTGTCCTATGAATCAGTAAAATATTCTTAAAAATAAAGTTTAATATATGTGAAGCCTAAACCTTGCTGGCGCCGGGTAGCTACGCCACTGGAGATATATGTTTACAATACATACTTTGATTACTATACGAGGCAAGAGAGAGGTCCGACACGCCCAACATAGGGCGCGGCCATTTTGAACCCTGTGACACAGTTTACAGCTAAAGAATCAGATCGCTCACTCTGCGTCGGCACTTTTGATCTCAATGTTTCAGTTTATACACTGTGCAACTCGGATAATACAATATATGACAACCGTCTATAATAAAACAGCAGTCTTCTGCGTATCCTGAATTTGTATCCCTGGAGTGGATGTTATTTTGGAACTTTCAACTGGTCCGAGTGAGCTAACTGATTCTTTAGCAATAAACTGTGACTTCAAAAATAATATTCACTGACACTGACAGCAGCAAGCAAAATATCAGGTGCGTTTTAATCATCCGCTTCTGCTTCCGGAATTGTCGGTTTATTCGTTTTAACCTGTCAGATTAAAACAAGAAAACCGACAATTCCGAAGCAGAAGCGGATGATTAAAACGCACCTATTAAAAATATTGCGCCAAGATGTAGGCAACACGTAATAAGGGTTCAAAATGGCGGAGTTTTCTATCTCCTTTTAAAAGGCACTCAGAAAGCTGCGCAGTGCGACCATTCTCCGTATAGTAAAAGAAAATCAAAGTATGTGGTTTACAACGAATCGCGAATACCTTATAAAAAATGTTTTTAAAATGCGACACTCCAATAATTAAATCATTAGATCAAACACATTTGCTTAAGTACCTACAATAAACTTCTCTTTTGGCTTTTCTCTCAGCTTTTATGAAATTATCAACTATAAAAATATACATAGAGATATTAGGTAACCACCTATATAAGAAATTTTTAGTATGTAGTATGTAGTTCCCCAGCCGAATAGTTGACTGCTTCAGTCTTCTTCCCGATTGAATGTGTATTATGTCACTCGGAAACCATACTAAACGTTTTGGCCAAAAGTATTACCGAAACGTTCACATCAAAATTTTCAGAGAAATGAGCTATCCACGAAGCATCTTAATCCGTTAGCCGATATACACGTTGAGTATTTCCGAGTCTCGATTAATATGTATTACGTCACATGACTACGCTGTCAAAGTTGGCTTTTTATCTTATAAAAAACTTCTAAGTTAAAAGTTTTAAGTACCGTACCTCAAATTTAAATGTTATAATTTACCCCTGAGGGAAATAATGATAATATAACTTTGTTACATATTCCTGATTTTTTTTTTATTTTCTACATTAAACTTCTTTATATGTCTATATGGTTTAATTTATTGATTATAGACGATACGATCGATCTACTTGAAAACAATAACCTAAAAGACTTTAGGCGTTGTCCTATTAAATTTAAGAAACTGCGTCTAAAAAAAATAATCAGCAAAAAAAATCTTTGATATCAAAGTACAATTTTGTACATCAATGAATAGTCGCTCGAAATATAACAATATCAGTCCACTTGAAACGAAAAAAATAGATAAAAATTATATACCAGAATCCTCGATTGTTACTTCAATTATCACACTTGTTTAGTGATGCAATCTAAAATGTTTCATTGGGTGTTCTTTTTGAGTTTCGCGAATGTAGTTTTCTCACGAGACTTCGAAATTCTATTTGATTTTGAAAAATTCGACAAAGCTATCGTAAGCAGTTTTGCGAATGGGGATAGTTTGACGCCTTGTCAAGAACAGTATCGCGAACTGCGAACTCAAAACTACAGAGCCTATGTGAGCCGTAAGTTTTCTTTTTTCCACCATTTTCCCTTATAATATTAACAAGTGTTTAGATGTAAAGTGTAAAGTGTTTAGGTAGGTACTTGTGAACAACGTTAGAAGTAAGACAAAAAATGATTTAAATATCTAAATGTTAGGCAACTCCAATTGCTGTAAACTGTAAAATGCAACTTTAACACTAGAAATACAATAATTTTAACTAACAAATTTTGTAAATTGATGTTTTTGTTTATATATTTCTAAAGAAAATTACATATAAGTTTAAAAAAAAACTTGTAATAGGTATTTTGTAACTAAATAATCTTATGTTATTCATAATCTTCAACGATACCCGTAGGTATCCCGCGTGATTTGATAAAACATTGAAAGTGTATTTTTATTAACTTTTACAACTGTCAAGTCAGTTCTGTCAAATATGCCACTGGCATTCATTTTTATGATAATATTAAAGGTTTGTTTGTTTTTCATTTATTGTTAATAAACCAATCTGTTCCTTTTAGATTGTTAGTGCCTTAATTATTTTCTATTGATAATTTTTTTTATTTGAATTTTTCAATTTTTAATATTTTTTCTTTAGTTTTTGATGCTACTTCCAAATTTCCTTGGACCGGAGTATTAACCGCAAGTATAAAAGATTGGGGAGCTTATGATGAATGCGTTGATGTCAACCATGAGTACTCTAAAGGTACGATAAGTGGCAAATATTGCGTTAGCGGAATTATTTTACCTACTTCGATTGTGCCAAGTAATATAACTGGTTTTAATTATACCGTAAGTATGAAAAAGTATTGTTATTAATATTATACTCAAGTGTCAACTTGTAAGGGAATCTAAATTGGGTTTAAATGGAAGATATTTAAAATAGTAACAAATGGTAAATGTTTGTTAAAACTATTTTTAATTGACCTCCTAGTTTGACTGATGTATGCTTTAAGACAATCCTCTTGCTGTGACTAGTTTTTGGAATTTCCTAACAAAGTACTTTGATGACGTACATTATTATTAGGTACAGGGCCAGTCACAAAATACTGAAAATTAAATTTTAACGTTTAGTTTATTACGAAAATATCCTTCAATTTAAAATACCGATAAAACAACCTTGAATTTTAATACAAATTAGGGGTATCACATTTTATACAATGTGTTTTATAAAGAGTATGTTACTGCTTTAATTGTCATTTTAAGAACATCACAAACAAGAACCGTAACCTTCCTAACAATGTTGCCGTATCTCAAATTATATCCCCATAGCATGGAATTTCACACGATTTTGAAAGACATTTTGTTCGTTTTTAGGAGTTTTTTTCCTTAGGTCTTTGTTTGCCAAACGCTTGTACGGCAAACGATTTTATGCTATTCAATAACACAATAATCTATGATCGTGCATGT